GAAGTGTCCCGAATTCCCTGTAGGCCCACCCAGGAATGTTCTCAGAATTTGTGTTGTGCCTTGTGCGACATGTTTTTTTACGACACCTCATACTGAGACAGTCCAGTGTCAAGACGTTGGCGTTGTGCTCTGTCCTGGGATCAGCATGCTTGGGGTTCTGAGCTCACGGCTCCCTTCCAAAAACATGCCGTGGTAGCCCTTGAGGCATGCCGGGACGGTCGGTCCCCGCTCAGCTGCCGCTCCCGCTGCCCCGCCAGCCACCCTCGGCACCAAGCGGGGCCCCAGCGGCGGCCGAGGGCCGCGGCGGCCGCCGCTTGCCCTCCGCCGCCTGCGCGGCCGCGGCGGCGGCGGGCCGGCGATGTCCGCGCCCTCCGCGGGCGGCGTCTCGCTCGGCGCCGCGGCGGCCGCGGCGTGCGCGGCTTGCGCGCTGGGGGCGCTGGCGGGCGCGCGCCTGTCGCGGCGCCCGCGGGCCGCGGAGGGGGCGCGCGCGGGGGCCGCGGAGGTGGCGCGACGCGGCGGCGGCGTCTCGGCCTGCGCGGCGCCCTCCTCCTTGGACCTCCTCCGCCCTGCCTTCTTTTTCTCCTCCCCCTTTCCCTCCTTTCTCATTTCTCCTCCTCCCTTTCTCCTCTTTCTCCTCCTCCCCTTCTCCGCCTCCTCCTCCTCCTGCTACTTGTCCTTCTCCTCCGCCTTCCCTCCTTCCCTCCCTCCCTCCCTCCCTCCCTCCTCTCTCCTCTCCCCTCTCTTTACTGCCTCCTCCTCATCCTCCTCCTTCTCATTCTCATTATCCACCTCCTCATCATCATTACCCTCCTCCGCCTCCTCCTCCACCCCCTCCGCTTCCTCCTCTTGATTCCTCGTCTGTCATCGTCCTTTTCTCTCCTATTGCTCGTCCTCTTGCTTCTCGTCCTCTTCTCCTCCTCGTCCTTCTTCAGCCACGAATGCTAATTCGATGTTTGCACTTTGTCCAGGCTGAGTACGGAATAACCAGAGGTTGTACTCGTATGTTCCTTCTTCGTCGAAGGCGTACTGAAGTGATGAACACGTGTTGGACCTACATCCATTTTGTCTACAGCTTCGTGTCTTCTCCAACCAAAAAAATGTCTACGACTTCGAGCCTTCCCCTGGGGCACAGTACCATCCACAACCCCAGCTGCAATCCCAACACTTACATTTCATGGAGCACAGGCCGTTCACACATGTTGATTCCCGTTGGGAGCCGCGCACACCCGTCGTAAACAAATCCAGCATTTGAAAGGAAGAAGGGCGGTTGGTTTTCAGAATTTGGTTATCGCCTTGGCGCCGCGCACACTCGTCCTACGCCAATCAAATGTTTGCACGGACGAAAGATTGTTCCTTTTCATGATGAGGTCCCCGCTAGAGATGTTGTTTTAAAATGTACGACTCGGATTTCACATGTGCAATGAATTCACCAGTGACGGTGTAGAATGGAGTTCTCGTTCGAGATTTCCTCGCCTTTGACTGTAGGACTTCTGAAAGCGTGCAACGCTTACACGGATGGAGGTCGAACCCTCTGCAAAACGGAGATGTGGTTTTGCAAATTGTCTTGAAAATATGTGACCCTGCCTCCTTGCATCTCGTACAGTCGGCCCGGATTAGTAGGTCGGCCCTGCCAAATCAAGGGTACTTTTGTGTCCTGTGTCTCGCGACCCGTGCCTCCTGCACTCCTATGGCAATGTGGCCCCTGGAAGGGTCTTTTGTCCTCTCGCGTGCCCTGCCCAATGAGGTCCGACAGGGCAGCTAGACGGATGGAATGTGTAGCCGTTACGATCGGGTTCTCGCTGGAGTGGCAGGCCCACGGGGCAGCAGTAACCCGCACGAGGAGGGAGCTTTGGACCGCACGGGGTATTGCAGCACCGTTGATGCTTATTGGGCTCGCTCTGGTCCATCTCCCCTCCTCCTCCTCCTTCTCCTCCTCCTCCTCCTCCTCCTCCTCCTCCTCCTCCTCCTCCTTCCGTAGCCATTTTGGCTCAAGAGCGTCAGGGCCGCGCCGCGCGGGGTAGCCCCTTCATGTGCTCGGTCGCCCGCCGCTGAGCGGGACTTCAGTCATGGCGTCGCTGCGCCGATGCTGCTGATCGTTGCCCTTCTTCTCTTTCTTCCTCACCTTCGAGTGGGACTCGCTGCAGCTGGGATGCCTCGCTGCCGCTCATGGGTGGCCGCGCTCGCTGATGGTGCACCTCTCTCTGCATCTCAAGCCCGTCGACGGGAGCGGGACCTGTTCTACGTCACGTCGCACAGTGCGCCAAGCAAGTCGTTCGTGGAGGTCGACTCCGCCGACTACAAGGATGTCAAGAGGATGGCTCGAGGCAAGGCGCTCCACCGACAATTGGACGCTGCTGGTCTGCTGGCTGGCGTCCCGCCAGCTGCTGCTGGCAAGGTGGCTGCCCACCGTGCTCTGCGACGTGGCGAGCTTTCTCCGAGTTCCCATGCGCTCGCTCGCTCGATCTTGGTACAGGCCGATCGTGCCAAGCATGTTCACAGCTCATTATGTCCTCTCCCACCTGCTCGGCGCGTTGCTGGTGCTCGTCCCCGCGGCGCTGATGTCCGTCTTCGCTGGGCCGACTGCGTCGAGATCCACTCTTTTGCTACTGATAGCTACGACGCTGCTGACGCTGAGGCAGCTGGGTCGTCTCCTGCGCCTCCCAGTGGCGGCACCGCGGGTCTGCACGACGGCTTGCCTGACACACAGAACGCCCCGATCGACAAGCGGAACCGTTGCAGGTGTGGTTGTGGCGACATGTACGACTCCATCGTCGCGCGCTTGGACAAGATGGAAGAGCCCCTCAACATGTTATCCGCTCGTTCGGCTACCTGGGAGGCTCTGGATCAATGCACCATTGCGCTCGCCTCGCTGGGTTCGTGGTGGCCTTTTCCTTATTGTGTCTCTCCCTCGTGGCAGGGCTTCTACGTATTTGACCAGACCCTTTGTGCTGGGGAGGCCTCGCGGGACAACGATTCCACTGATCGAGTTAACGCTGCTTGCTTACTTCCTGGTGCTGTTGGCGGTGCTGACGCTGCTGCCGGTTCTGGGCATGGCGCTGGCGATGCAGGTGTTCTGGGCCCTGGTATGGATTCTCTTCGGGTCTGTTCGGTGGAGAGGGACAAGACCGGTGAGCGGGACGGTGCTGGACTTCCGGGGGTGGTGGCTCTCGACTTCTATTGCTTGAAGGTCCTGCCCGAGGGCCCACGGGTCGCTACCTGCAAGGCCTGCAAATTTTTCCCTGGTTGTGGCCTAGGCGACTACTGTCTCACATCTAACCGTGGTGTCCGACCTGGCGTTAGCTGAAGAACATGAGCGCCTAAGTCAGCAGTTCACTGCATTTCGTGGGGTACAGCCGCTCACCACATCTCTCTGGCACGCTCGCGCGGCTGGCCGCAACGCTCTTGATCTTCACGCACTTCGGGAATTGGAGGCCGCTTCGGTTGTTGCGGCACCTTCGAGTTCGGCGGCAACTTCAACCACGTCTGGTGCAGCTTCGGGTTCAGCGTCCCCTGCTGCTACCTCGGGTGCTGGGACTCCTTCGGCTACTGCAGCGCTGTGTGCACACTCGGGTTCAGTGGCTCCTACGCCGTGGAGTTTCGCAGTGGGTTCGGGCGCGGTGGGTTCGGCGGCAGCTTCAACATTCTCTGCTGCAGCTTCGGGTGCTGCGGCTCCTTCGGCTATGAGTTCTGCTGTGACTTTGGGCTCGGTGAGTTCGGTGGCAACTTCTACTTCCCCTGGTGCAGCCTCAGGTTCGGGTGGGGCTCATAGCGGTCCGAGGGCGGATCTGCACGGTCTTCGTGCGGACCCCCCTGGGCGTGATGACGCTCCCCCAGCTCTGGTCGGCGTACGCTGTGCTGTCGAGCCTGGTATGCCAGATGTCGACTTCACTGCTCTCCTGGTGGCGCTCGTGGTGACGATGGGGGTGACTATGACGATGAGTTTACTGCTCTACTGGGTGGCATCGCTCTGGGTGACGCTCGTGACGACGGCACGGCCGACAGTGGCAGTTGTACGTCTGTGGCTCCTCCGACGCATGCACGCCGATGGGCGGTTCCTGGTGCGCCTTATCTGCAGCGCGGGGACCTCTTCTCGCTTCGCGGATGCAGCTCTCGTCTTGCTGCGCTGGCGGAAGGACTGGTTCAGCGCAAAGGCATCGAGCACTACTTCAACCACGACGGCATGGCCACCTCCCCGCAGCCGCGCGTGGACTCCCTCTCTTCCAACTCTGACGGCATCGCCGTCGTCGACACCTTCTCCAAGGGCGTCGGCTTCTTTGACAGCGACGACTTCTACCAGGAGCTCTCCGCCGATGAGCACCTGAGGACAGGCCCCGCGGGGGCCGACGGCGGCGGCGGCGCGGCCAGCGCGGCCTAGACAGAGACGCGCCCTTCAGTGGCGTGGGATCCTCCTCCTCCTCCTCCTCCTCCTCCTCCTCCTCCTCCTCCTCCTCCTCCTCCTCCTCCTCCTCTCTTCTCCTGTCCAGCGCCTCCGCCCACGCACTTCTCACTTATGCGGGCATGGTGCTCGCCCTCCCCCTCCTCGGTCCCTTGCTCACCGTCCCGCTCCTCTGGGGGGGCAAAGAGGTACCAATACCGCTGGTCTCCGGACTTCGCCCAGGGCGTGACTTGACAAGAAATGCGAAACGAGTCCAGCCGTGGCGATATCGGTACCTTGTCCCCCCCCGATCCTCGCCCTCCTCGCCCCTGATCTTCGTCATCCACCCACGCACTCATTCATGCGGCTTCAGCGCTTGTCCTCCCTCTCCGCGTTCTCCCGCTCCTCGCCCCCCTCGTCCTCCTCGCCCCCCCCCCCCCCCCCTTCGTCCTGCTCGCCCCACTCCTCGTCCTCATCGTCCCACTCCTCGTCCTCCTCGCCCCCCTCCTCGCCTTCCTCCTCGGCGCCTCCCCCCCGCTTGATCGAGGGAGCTGGCGCCAGCGGTGGCGCCCCCAGCCGCGCGGCTGCCTTGCGCGAGCTGCTCGCCCAGGGCCGCGTGGTCGTCATGCCCTGCGTGTACGACGGCCTCACCGCCCGCCTGGTGGAGCGTGCGGGCTTCGAGCTCACCTTCATGACGGGGCTCCTCCTCCTCCTCCTCCTCCTCCTCCTCCTCCTCCTCCTCTTCCTCCTCCTCCTCCTCCTCCTCCTCCTCCTCCTCCTCCTCCTCCTCCTCCTCCTCCTCCTCCTCCTCCTCCTCCTCCTCCTCCTCTCCTCCTCCTCTCCTCCTCCTCCTCCTCCCTCCTCCTCCTCCTCCTCCTCCTCCCCCTCCTCCTCTTCTTCCTCCTCTTCCTCCTCCTCCTCCTCCTCCTCCTCCTCCTCCTCCTCAGCCTCCTCACCCGCGCTCCTCACCAATAATTTCCCGTACAGTGCTCGTCGTCTCCCTCTGTCCTCCGCCTTCTGGGTGCTTGCGTCGTGAACAAAAATTCGACGGAGGGTTCTTGACAAGTTCCGGCATCTGGGGGTCCTCGCTGGGCCCCAGGGCTGTCAGAAAACGGCTCGTGATGAACAAAACGGCGCTGGGGAAAAGGGCCAAGATTTCCAGGGGTCTACGTTGTAGAAAACAACGCTCACCTCCGTGACGGGGCGCGTCGTCATCCTCGCCTTCTTTCCCTTCCTCCTCCTCCTCCTGCTCCTCGATTCTCGATGCTTCATGCTGAAAGCAGGCTCTCTGGTGCCAGCTGGTGCCTCACGGAGCCCTCTCCTTCATATTCTCCCCATCAGTGCGGGACTTTGATGGGGGATGCGGGAGAGGGCGCGCATTTAAACGTGGGCCATTTGCCCGCTCGAGGGGGATTCCTTCCTTATCCTTCTCCTCCTCCTCCTCCTCCTCCTCCTCCTCCTCCTCCTCCTCCTCCTCCTACCAGGACCAACTGGACCTCTCCAAGGGTGCGTTTCGGCCACGACATCGAGGCGCGTCCAGTTGTGGCGACGAGACCGGAGGCCACCTAAAGACGTGAGAACGCTCGAAAACGTTAATTCTGAGGCGGCGCGCCGAGGGGGCACGTTTGGGAGTTTCGGGTTAGAGGTTAGACATTGTCGGGCGTTTTCGTGGGATCACGGCGGTTTTGCAGCCTCCGGGAGGGCTCCAGCGGCTGCGCCTCGCCGAGGAGCGTCCAGGTGTTCCCGGAAGCGCTCCGCACGGCCGCCGGAAGCCCTCCGTGTGTTCCGAGAAGCTTCCCGTGGCGGAGAGGGCTCACAGAGTTTCTCTCGGGGCTCCATACACTTGGCATCGCTCGGACGTGTGCATTTTTTCTCGGCGAGGACCATCGAGGATCATCCTGGACCATCGAGCAAAAAAACACGCACGAAGCCGACAAATGCACGGGAAATGGACGTCCGAGCGACGGCAAGTAGACGGGGGTCAGTGCAAGCGGGGGTCAGTCAGAGCGCAGGATCTTGCAGGATCCTGCAGAGCCAGGGGTGCATTGACCTGGGCTTGCGTGCAGGATCCTGCAGGATCTTGCAGGATCCTGCAACGCCCGACTGACCCAGCCTTGGATTGACCCGGGCCAGTAGATCCCCGATTCTCTTAGAAGGCCAGAAGGACTTCTGAGCCTCGTGAGGCGGCCAGCCCCCTCCTGCTTTCCCCCTGGGCGCGAGACGCCGAGGTTCGGCGTGAGCGCAGCGCGAGGGTACCCGGACTGCCAGCTGGTGTCCTTCCAGGAAATGGCGGTCAGGGGGTAACGTCAATTAGGGGGTGGATAGGCGCATCGACCCCCAACCGCACATTCATCGTCGATGGGGGGGCCGACATCCCGCCCAGCACAGGACCTGTCGGGGGCCTATCGCCGACTTGTCCGTGATGTGCCTTTCGATTCCAGCTCGAGGCTTCTCCCCCTGGAGCCAGCCTACCCCCCTGGCAGGTGGAGAGCGGGCTCATGGTCTGCGGCAGCCTGCGCGGCATCTGCTGCATCGGCGACGGGGACACAGGCTCGGTGATGCCTCGGGCTGAGCACGGACAGCCCCCCCCCCCCCGAGGGTTAGCCCCGGCTGGGCTCAACAGGCCTCCCGAGCAGCCCGGGGCGGTCTCAACACCCTGGCGCTCCGCGCCCCAGGGTTGGGGTGTTGAGGCCGCTCTGGGCTGCTCGTGGAGCTTGTTGAGGCGAGCTGGGGCTAACCCTCGGGGAGGCTGTCCGTGCGCAGCCTGGAGCCTCACCACACAGGCTACGGGAACTGCGTGAACGTGAAGCGCACAGTGCGGGCATACGCACAGATCGGCATGGCTGGGGTCATGATAGAGGACCAGGTGGCCCCGAAGCGCTGCGGCCACACCAAGGGCAAGGCGGTCGTCTCCCGTGAGGAGGCTGTCGCGAGGGTGCGGGCGGCGTGCGACGCGCGAGACGAGGGACCGAACGACATCTGCATACTGGCCCGCACCGACGCGCGTGGGCCGATCGGTCTCCGAGAGGCGTTGGAGCGCTGCAGGGAGTTCGTGGACGCCGGCGCAGACATCACGTTCCTGGAGGCCCCAGAATCTCTGGAGGAGATGGAGCAGTATTGTCGCGAGGTGCCTGGCCCCAAGCTTGCCAACATGCTGCCCAGCGGCAAGACGCCCATGTCGGGTCGGACGAATCAAGGGGGGTGGGGGGAATGGGGAAAGTGGGGTGGTGTACAGAACTTGGTGCGCGCAGCTGGTATTTGGCCCGCCGCCGCCGGGCGCTTTCCTCGATGCATCAGCGCCTCCGGCGCCGAGAGGAGCTCGGCAAAACAGCCGCGTGAGCTGATTCGTTGGCCCCCCCTCGCTGCCCCCCCCACCCCGTCCGACCCGACTGTCCTGCCGCCAAGCCGCCTGGAGCAGATGGGCTACGCCATCGCGGCCTACCCGCTGACCCTCCTGTCGTGCGGGCTGAGGGCCCAGCAGGAGGCCCTGGAGCGGCTGAAGGCGGGGCAGAGCGTTGCAGACCTGGAGCTGGACTTCGAGGCGCTGAAGGACGTCGTAGGCTTCAACGAGTACTACGCCGAGGAAGCCAGGTACAGGGCCTGAGGGCGAGCGCGCCGAGGACAGGCGGCGCACGCTGGGACCGAATCCGCGAAAGAAGCCTCTTCCTCCTCGCCCGCATCGCCGCCCCCCTTCCTCCCGCTCCTCCTCATCCTGGTCCTCATTCCTCCGCCTCTTCGCTGTCATCATCGTAATCGTCATCATCATCATCATCATCATCATCATCATCATCATCATCATCATCAGCAGCAGCTGCAGCAGCAGCAGCAACATCATGATCATATTCATCATCAGCAGCAGCGTCATGATCATCATCATCATCATCAGCAGCAGCATCATCATCAGCATCATCACCATCGACATCATCCTCATCATTATCATCATCAGCAACATCATCATCATCATCATCATCATCATCATCATCATCATCATCATCGTCGTCATCCTTGTTATCAGCAGCATCATCATCATCATCATCATCGTCGTCGTCGTCGTCGTCGTCGTCATCGTCATCATCGTCATCGTCAGCAGCATCATCAGCAGCATTATCATCATCGTCGCTGTCACCATCATCATCGTCGTCATCAGCAGCAGCAACAGCAGCATCAGCAGCAGCATTATCACCGTAAGCATCATCGTAAGCGTCATCATCACCATCACCAGCATCATCATCGTTATCATCGTTGTCATCATTGTCATCGTCGTCGTCGTCCTCTTCCTCCTCCTTTCTCCTCCTCCTCCTCCTTCTCCGCCTCCTGACGTGATTGACGCCACGCCGTCGCTAATGCGCCGCAGGGCCAGACGGGCGCCAGCGGCGGCAGCTGAGACCAAGGAGAAGGCGAGGGGCACGAGAGGCGCCCTTTCTCGCTCCGAAGCCCACTCGATTTCCGACCGCGGTCCAGGGGTCCGATCGCCACCCGAAGGCTCCTGGGCTCGGTCATCGGTGGTGCACCGGGTGCCCGAGGGCCCGCCCGCGCCACAAAGAGCACGGGAGCTTGCCGCCACGCCCTGCCAGAACCCCCCAGCTGATCCTGCAGCGGGAGGGCGAGCGGCGGGAGGCGAGAGAGTCGCGCCCGGCGCGACAGCATGCGGCCTGACGTCGAGATCCCACCCCTCCCATCACGTTCGGTGGGTGGAAACATGGTTGCTGTGATGATGCAGCGACTGTGGCTTCGACTGAGACCACAGAGGTTTTGTTGAACCCTGCAGGACCTGGGCACCGCAAGGCGCTGAGGACTCTGACAGGCTGCAGGCAGGTCTGTTTCCCCGCCGTGGAGGCCCCCCGTAGAGCTATACGAGATGCCCTGTCAGGCGCGCGTGGAAGCCATGTGGAGCAGCGCATGCCCTGCAGGCGGGGTCCAGCAGTTCTGCACCAGGCGGCAGGGCAACAACTTGTGAATGCTCAGCTTTTTTACGCGGGCCGAGCGGCGGCCGGGATGCGGATGGCCCTGCGGCGACGGGCAGCGCGCGCGCGACGCGCCCCTCAGGAAGGAGGCTTCTGGGAAAGTTGATTGTATGCCACCAGACCAGAGAGGCCAGCATGAAGATTGTGCAGGCCTGCCCGCTGACGCATGGCTGAGGAGCAGAGAGGCGGCATTGCGCACATAACTAACGGGTGCAAGGCTGCGGCTCCTCCTCCTCCTCCTCCTCCTCCTCCTCCTCCTCCTCCTCCTCCTCCTCCTCCTCCTCCTCCTCATAATCATTACCATCATCAGCATCATCACTGTCATTATCAGCATCATCATCGTCATCGCCATCATTGTCGTCGTCATCATCAGCATCAGTATCATCATCAGCAGCAGCATCATCAGCATCCTCATCATCATCGTCATCATCAGCATCATCGTCATCAGCATCATCAGCAGCATCATCATCATACCTCGTCTCGCCATCATCGTGGCCGTCGTCGCCTTCACCACTTTTTCCTCCTCCGCCTCATGCTCTCCGTCCTTGTCTTGCGGCTGCAGCGTTCTACCCGGCGCGGTGGGGCCTCGAGGGTTGTGGCCTCGAGGTCTGAGACGGCAGAAGGCGCCGCACAGAGCAGGGCGCTCCAAGAAGAAGTGCTTTCCCTTCGAGCAGTCGTGGGGTTGACATCTCGCCCTCTGCGGAGATCAACGTAACGCCCGCGGAAGCCGGCAGAAGCAGAACGAGGGCGGCTCCGCTGGCGGAAGCCGGCGGAAGTCAAAATTGGTCCCTTAGACGATCCAAGAGGGCCCCCCGAGGCAGCCCCAGGATTGGTCAACATACCCTTCGAAGTAGCTATTTTGGCTGCAGCCACTTTCGCTCAAGCCACTGGCTACCAGCGCCTCGCTACATCATTAGTTTCTGTGGTGCAGGTGGCGAAGAGATGCAGACGGCCGGTGAGGTCGTGAAGGCTGCCAAAGCCGTGAAGGCCATGAAGGCCAGGCGCAGCATCGATATCACCAGGCATGTGCATGCTGGTGCACTCACCCTAGTCTTTTCAAGCGAGTCGCTGCTACGAGCCACCAGACGCGTGGGGTCTGCGGCGCTAGCGTCTTACCATCACGAAGGGAGAACATAGGAATAACATACCATTGAAAGAAGAGACAACACTGGCCAACAGATCCAATGCGGCTGGAATAATCACGAGGGCCCCCTAGAGTGGGCAGTGCGGCAGAAAGCAATAGCACACAGCGGCAAACAACAGCAGCCAGCAACACCCAGCAGCAAGCAACACCGAACAGCAGCAAGCAGCCTCTAACGACGGCAATGGGCAACAAAAGCAGTGAGCCGATCGAGCAGCAGCGCGCCCCGTGGTGCCCGAATCAGATGTTTAAATGAGGGCGATTTGCTCCAAGAGGCGTCGAGAATGGCCCCAAGAGAATGCCAAGAGAGCTACAATATTCCAAGAACGAAGAGCTGCATGACCATAAACTTTTGGAGCTCCGCGCGGATTGCTCGGATCGGCGCTAGGCCGCCTGGCGGCTCTTCTGGCGCCGCCCCTGGCGCGCTCTGCGTGCCAGGGAGGGGGGCCAGCGCCAATCCAAGAAATCCGCGCGGACCTGCGAATTTGTGTGTCCCTAAACCCAGACCCCCGACGTCATGATTTGTTCACAACCTCGACCCCAGGAGGTCTCGATCCACTTCCCGGGGCCATCTTTTCATCCTGATTAGGTTTTTGCTGGTTCCCGGGCCCAGCTAGGGCCCACCGGAGGCCGAAAGCGGCCAAAATTTGTGAGTCATGTTTCATGTCACGGCGCGAGGGGGTCTGGGAAGATGGCCCCAGAGGGCCAGACGGGGCCGCTTGCGGTCCGATCCGATGTGTCTCGATCCGCAGGCGGCCTCAGCCCTCCGCGTCTCCGCGACTTCTTCTCCTTCGGTGGCAGATCGTGGGAGCCTTGTATACCCTCGCAATGCCGTTTTCAGTTCAGAGTGCAGTCGCGCTTATTTGCGTCTGGTAGTCGAAAGGAGAGCACCGACGTGGCGTCGATGGTAGCGTCAATGTTGGCGTCGACCAGCTCCGATCAGCGTCGATCAGCGTGATGAGCGTCGATTCTCGCAAAAGCCAGCAAGACGCTATGGGAGCCTCCCGTGATAAGTATCGTTTAGCCGACCCCTATCCCCATCCCCATCCCGAGCCCCACTATCCTTACCACCCCAGTGGAGGATATGCCCCTGGAAGCCCGAAGGGAACAGCCTATCTCCCCATCCAGGGGCGGCAAAGCGGCCAGTGGGGCCCAGGCCACGCCAGTGGGGATACAGTGCATCCTTCCCCTTCGGCTCACCAGTGGCCGCTTTCGCTGCTCACGCCCCGCTCGCAAAACGTCAATATGGTCTTCCAAGGCCATTGCATCCGCACCGCACATCTTTATTATACGGGCTGGCTGTGTCCCCGTCCAAGGAGGCAAATTAGCCAGTGGGGCCCAGGCCACGTCAGTGGGGATAGGGGTTGGTCAAACGAGGTTCATTCCTCGATGTATGGGCGCCTCTGGTGCCTGGAGGCGCCCGGAAAGCCGGCTGCGGCATCCGATTCGCTAACCCTCCCCGTTTGTTACCCCCCCTTTCTTCCGACCCGAGCAGCGCTCTCCTGCCCCTTCCCGTCTTCCCGTGAGCTCTCCCCGCGGGCTCCTGCCCCGCTGGCGGCCCAGCCGCGCCCCTGCAACGCTGGGGATCTGGCCCCTGCCCCGCTGGGAATCGGTGAAACTAGGCTCCCCCGCGTTGCCGCAGCGGACGCCCCGCGGCTGGCCGGAGGAGGGAGGGGGACAATTTATGAGTAGGGAGAAGGTGGAGGAGGAGGAGGAGGAGGAGGAGGAGGAGGAGGAGGCGGAGGCGGAGGCGGAGGAGGAGGAGGAGGAGGCGGAGGCGGAGGCGGAGGAGGAGGAGGAGGAGGAGGCGGAGGAGGAGGAGGAGAACAACGCTTAACCCTCGTGGCCTCAGACGCCCGCGCGTTGCCGCAGCAGATGCCCCGCGGCCGGCCACCCAGGAGGCCGGGAACGAAGCGCACCGCGCCGGCCAGCTGGGCGTCGCCGTGGCGAGGTCTTCCGGGCCCGCCCGCCCTGCCGCCGACGGCCAGCCATGGCATGGCTCGGGTCGGCTCGGCGTCGGCCTTCCGGCCCCTCTCAGGGGCAGCCTCCTTCTCCTTCTCCTCCTCCTCCACGTCCTCCTCGTCCTCCTCCTCCTCCTCCTCCACGTCCTCGTCCTCGTCCTCGTCCTCTTCCTCCTCCTCCTCCACCTCCTCCTCCACCTCCTCCCTCCCTCATCTCACTAGCCCCCCCTTCTTCTCCCCCTCCTCCTGGAGGTCGTCGCCACCGTCGTCGTCCGCCGCGTGCTTTCCGCCGCACGTCGTCCGTCGTCCGTTGTCGTCGTCTTTCGTTCGTCCGTTCTTCCGTTCCGCGTCCGCCTGTCCGCCTGTCCGTCGCCGTTGCGTCCGTTGTGGTCGTCGTCGGTCGTTGGTCGTCCATCACTTGTCGTTGTCGGCGGCGGCGGCGGCGGTGGCGGCGTCGTCGTCGGTGATTCAAGTGGATTATTCAGGAAATGCTTAGAGGTTTTTCAATGACGCTTGTCGGAGTCCTGAGGGCTTCCATGGGATCCCTCAGGGCATCCTGTATCATCCTTGGGCACTTATTAAGAGTCTGTCAGAAATCCATCGGGCGCCTTCCAAAAAACTTCGGACGCCTGGGAGGAAGGAGGGGGGGGGAATGTCTCACCGCGGTGCAGCATGCGCTATGTCTTTCCGCCGGATGCGGAGGAGGAGGCCTTTCATTGCCCTCCAGGGTCACACACACACACACACGAACGAACGAATTGCCCGCCCCGAACCCCGCTTCGCCTGGCCGCTGCCCAGGGCCCCCGGCTCGGCCGCGGGCGCGTGGCCCGCTGCAGCTGCAGCTCCTATGCGTGGACATGGAGGAGGGAGGATGAGGGAGGGAGGAGGAGGAGGAGGAGGAGGAGGAGAAGGAGGAGGAGGAGGAGGAGGAGGAGGAGGAGGAGGAGGAGGGAGGCGACCCAGCCCAAAGCGGGGCTGCCGGGGGGTCATGCCCGCGCGGCGCTCCACCTGCGACCTCCTGGGGGGGCCGCCAGGCGAACCTTTCCCCGGGGGGTCTAGGTGCGGAGCCCCCGCTTCGGCGTCGGGCTCCGGCCGAACAGCCCTCGGCCGCGGGGAAGGGCAGCATGCGGGCACAGCTCGCTGGCCTATAAGGGCCAGTGCCGCGCGGCCCAGCCGGGCGCGCGCCCCTACCTGGGGGTGGCGCCAAGCGGAGTGGAAGGAAGGAAGGAAGGAAGGAAGGAAGGAAGGAAGGAAGGAAGGAAGAGGGAGGAGGAGGAGGAGGAGGAGGAGGAGGAGGAGGAGGAGGGAAGAGGGAACTGACGCAACAGCTCCGTAGCCAGCGCCTGCGCCAAAAGTAGGAGGCGGAGGGAGAGACGGAGGAGGCCGCACCCCCGCCCTGCCCCCGCCCCTTCCGGCCGCCGCCCCTCGCCCGATCAGCCGCAGCCCGCGAGGTACACGACCGGCCTTGCCGAGCTGCCCGAGGCCCCCGAGGGCGAGGCGGACACGCACGCGCTGCTGCGCGCGGCGCTGCACGCCAACCGCTGCGCGGCCCGCACCCTGCTGCGGCTGTTCGACGCGGCGGCGGAGGACGCGCAGGGGATCGGGCACCCGCCAAGGGGGGGGGAAGGCTGTCTGGAAGCACCCTTGCCTTCTGAGAGGGCGCGGGCCTCGTCTGTAGACAGAAGGCTGGCGCCTTCTAAGGGGCAGCCTGCTTCTAAGAAGCCTCCCCCCTCCCCCTATACCCCCTTGTGCGCGCCGCCAAGGGCAGCGCTCGGAGGGAAGGGCACCAATACCTTCTGGGCCTCCCGGGAGGCCGCCCTCGTCGCCACCGCCGGATTCGCCTCGGAGTCCTGGTCAGAGCGCCTGGGGGGGAGAACGGAGCGGAGGGATGGTTTGTCAAAACATCAAGGGTTCCGCCCGTCATTCCTGCAATTAGCCGTTGCAGTGTTTTGCGACGACTGCTCGCGGCGCTCGGGTCGAGAGCAGGACATGCCCGAGACGGCCCAAGCCAGCCCCGAGGAATTGGCCCAGGGCTGCCTCAAATTGGGCCAGGAGGGCCCTGGCATCCCAAGACGTCCAAGAAGGCCCCAAGAAGCCACGAGAATCTCAGAGCAGCCTCGAAGCGGAGAGCTCACACTCTGGTCAGATTGGCGTCGTCACGGAGACCCACAGGACAGCCCTGCACTGGCCTGCAAGATTCGGAGGAGGATGACGACAACGACGACGAGGACACGAGCGCAAACGGGGGAACGAACGACGCAGGACGCCTTGAGCACCTGGGACTGCCGGAGCGGCGAGGCGCGCTGGGCTCTCGCGCCTGTGCGCCCGCATCCCAAGGATGGCCTTGCCTTTCCCACCGCGTCGTTGGCCCCCCCTGGCAACTCGTGCTGGAGGGGCGGCAGATGTCGAACGCTGGAGAGGGCCATTCCAGGCAGCTCCTGTGCCCCGGGGCCCCTCGGAATCGCTGCGCGCGACTCGGCCGGCCAGCGCTGTGACGCCCAGAGCCGCCGGGTTGCTGGAGCAAGGAGGAAGGCAGGAAGAAGGTAGGATTGAGTCGGGCCTGTCCCTCTACAGGAGGGAAATTCGAGAATAGCTAAAATATAGAATAGTCTGGTGACGATTTCGAGCATGTCTTGACATGTTTTTAATGTTTTCATTTTTCGTCGAACATCTGCCTGTGGGGGGCCATGCCCGACCTAAAGGCAGGAAGAGAGACGAGGGGGAGGAAAAGCTCGGCGAGCAGTCTCGAGCATGCAGGAGGAGCGGGGGGGGGCGGCACAGGCAGCAGCAGGCAGCAGCAGGCACGCACGCGTGCTGGGGGAGGGTGGGGGGCCTGGGGGGGGGGCGATGGTTGTCGGCGGCGATCGCGGGGTCGTCGTGGGTCGTCGGGGGGCGGCTGCGTCGTGGGCCAGGGGCCGTCAAGGGAAGGGGGGCTTGGAGTCGGCTACGAATCGCCGATGATGTTGGTGTGGGCCCACGGTCGCAGAACCGCACAGCTCCTGGGCACGTCAGAGGGCGCTCAAGGCCTTCCCCCAGGATCGGGGGAACGTAAGACCCGGGTTTGCCGGGACTCGGGTTCGCCATCGTTTTTTGACGACCGCGCCTCGGATTTTGACGAGGGGGAGTTTCGTGGGATGTCTGCAGCGGGAGGCCTCGTCAAAATGCAGGCTCGGCCTCGTCATTTTTTTGACGACCTCGTGGGGATTTCCGAGTCCCCCGTACCCGGGTCTTACGTGTCCCCGACAGGAGCAGCTTGTTATCCTGAGCCGTGTTTTGACGGCGGCTTATCACCTTGAGTGGCTGGTGGGTGGGGGTCCAGCCAGCGCCGACAGTTAGAACTGCGAGGCAGGTCCAGCCGTGGCCACGGGAACGCCCCAAGAGGCCCCAAACAGTGGAGGATCAAACAGACAGAACATACATACACGTGTCGAAGACGCCTACGGCGAATCAATGCGCCCCCTGCTTTTTTGCGAAGCGCCTCTGTGGCCAAACGTTAGGCGAAAGCTTGGCCAAGCCATCGGACGAGGATGATGAGCACTCTTGGGGCCTCTTGGTAGCTTCTCGGGGCCATCTTGGAGGCCTCTTGGGGCCTCCTTGCGTCCCTTCGGGTCTTTTGAGAGCTTTCTGGAGGCTTCGTTGGCCGTCTTCGGGCGTTCATGGCTAGTCTGACACCGTCGGAAGTTGTCTTGAGGGCCTCTCTGAACCGACTTGGGGCCTGGGGCGTTTCCGTGCTGTCTTGGAAGTCATCTTTGGCGTCTTGGAAGCCTCGTGGGCCGTCTTGGGGCCATCTTGGGGGCATCTTGAGTCGCCATGGGGCCATCTTGGAGGCCTCTTGGGCGATCTTGGGGGCCTCTTGGGCCGCCTTGTGCCGTCTGAGGGACGAAAAGAAGCAAGTGCCAGAATCAGTGAACAACCTAAGAACCAATGCTGTTGGGCTCTTCGGGTCTTCCAGGAGGGCCTTTGGAGGCCTCTTGGGCGATCTTCGGGGCCACTTGGGCCGTCTTGGACTGTCGGAAGGCCAAGAAGAAGCAAACGCCAAAATCAGTGAAAAACCGAATAATCAATGCTGGTGAGCTGTATGGGCCTTCCAGGAGGAACCCTTGGAGGCCCCCTGGGCCGTCTTGGAGGCCTCTTGGGAGCCGCCTTGGGCCGTCGGAAGTCAGAAAAAAAGCAAATGCAAAAATCAGTGAAAACCGAAATAATCAATGTTGTTGAGCTCTTCGGAGCTCTTCGGGGCCATCTTTGGCCCCCTCGGAGCTATGTCAGCCGTCATGGAGGCCATCTTGGCCATCTTGGGAAGGGAGGCCGAGGGGGCTTCTTGAGGGGCCTCTTCGGCTGTCTTACGGTGTTCCTGGTCCGTCTGACGCCGTCGGAAGCCGTTTTGGATGCCTCGTTGAACCGATTTGGGGCCATCTTGGGGCGCTTCAGGGCCGTCTTGGAGGCAATGTTGGGTGTCTTGGAGGTTTCTTGGGCCGTCTTGGGGCCCTCTTAGGTGCCGTCTTGGAGGCTTCCTGGGCCGTCATGGGGTAATATTGAAGGCCTTTGGGGCTATTTTGGGGGCCTCCAGGGCCGCCTTGGGCCTTCGGAAGGCCGAAAAGAAGCGAATGCTAAATTCTGTACAGAGCCTTAGGACATTCTATGATTTGAGCTTCTTCGGGCCTTCCTGGAGGACCTCTTGGAGGCCTCTTGGGCGATCTTCGGGTGCCTTGGAAGCGATCTTGTGGCTGTCGTGGGCTCTCGTGAGGCCATCTTGGCCGTCTTGGCGGCATCTTGGAGGTCAAAGAGGCCATCTTGGGGCAATCTCGAGCGGCAAGACCGACGAGACAAGCAAACCGGCGCGCTGTGCCGAAGCCCCAGGGGGAGTTCTAAGAAACCCAAGAGCCTCCTGAACCTCAGCACGCCAGGCCCCCCTGTGGCAAGCCAACAGGGGGCGGCGGTCTTGGATTCAGTTTTTGAAAGTCTTGTGCTTCTCGGGGCCTGTTGGGGCCTT